TGGACTTTTGAAGGAGGGTCTAGACCCTACCCTGGATGACATGACAGACTCTGGAGCTCCACATGGAGGGCTTCACCCTCTCTGAGGATTAGAGTGGAGCCTGGGTAGAGGGCTGGGGGTCTTGATGGGGAGGGATGGGGAGGAGGGAAGGTAGAGGGAGCTGAGATTGACATGTGAAAAAAACTTGTTTCTAACTTAAATTTTTTAAAAATGGAAGAGAAAAAAATAGAACTTAAAAAATGGCATAGGGGATACGCCTGAGGAAGGGTCATCCAAACATAAATATGTATGAAATTGCTCTTGAGAAATTAGCTACTTCGTAAGCAAGTTTTTCAAATTTAGAAAACAACTATTTGTTTAATTGAAAGATTTAAAAAAGAAGCAAATCAGAGTGTTGTAGAGATAACGGTGATCTCTATGACATGGCATGAGGTGAGTCCCACAGTCATGTTGTATCATCCAGCTCAACAAGATTGTCATGTAAAGAGTGTGTACATGATTGTAGAATTATCAACCTAAGAAAAGAGAGGAAGATATTCCAGCCAAACAGTGTGCCTTTCTCTTTATGACTAGTTATTTTCAAAAATGTCAAAACACTTAATCAGTCAAACCCCCTTATTTCCCATTGCTTATAGAATAGAAACAGTTTCCTTAGCCTGTAGTCTTTGCTCTATCAAAGGCCTTGTTGGGGCTCAGTGGATTTGGGTGCAGGCTTCTGGTGCCATGGGTGCACTGTGTGCTCACTGCGCACAGGTAGACAGCTGAGTCACTGGCCTGGGAGTCTCTGATGTGCAGGGAAACATGTAAGCTGGCTTTATTGAGATGAACTGTGAATCTGCCTTCTTCCTTTTTACCATTGGAGAAGACAGACATCAGAGCCTTGGGGTTTTTCCAGGGATGTTGTCTGTACCACCAGAAGTTCTGAGTAGCACTATCGCTGAAAGTGCAGTTGACAGAGGCCACGGCTCCCTCTTGGACACTGAAGGATTCCGGAGTCTGCTGTACCTTCTGCTGGCTGCTCACCCCTGTACAGAAAGACATATGTCAAACACACAGGACTGGATGCATATGGATGCTATCACCCCGGAGTGGCCCTTCCATGAGTAGCCCACCTGATTTTGTCTCACCATCAGAACATTAGTATTTCTACCCACACTCCTAACATATGTGTGGGCAACACCCTCTCATACTGTAATTATATGTTCCCATAGAAATGATTGAACTCACCCCTCACTTGAAGCCAGAGTACCACTATGTAAACACTTAAAGGATGCATTATTGTTCTCACTGAAGGTTCACACTTTGATCATAACAAATGGAATGGCATTTAGCGAGTTCAAATTCTTCTGCTGTAAGATACATAAAAAAGAAAAACCCCAAACTGTTCATCCAATTAGAAAGAATGTCCTAGTTTTCACTGCCACATCAAAAGCCCTCCTGCTCCCTCTATAACCACCCCCAAAGCACACACAGACACAAAGGACCATGGGAGAAATTGCTTCTGGGTCTCTGAGAAGATACTGCCATCGTGTGGATTCACCTTAGTGTCAAAGAAATACTTTAAGTGTAGACTCTTCTTACGTAAACTATTAAAACAACAAATAGTTTAGTCAGATGCAAGTTTGTTCAAGTTTGTGCATTAGTCTACTTACACATACATTTTTCTTCAAATGGCAGCTTATTTTCAGCAAATCAAAGTTATTTCACTAGTCAATTTTGTAGTATTTCTGCAGAACCCCTCAATCAAATAAAAGTTTATGTTCTTTATCTCTTCTCTATGTCAGCTCATACAATCCTGTATTGTTCCTTCATAACCAATATTAAATTTTCTATAATTGAAAAGATCTGTTTAAAATTAAATAACTTTAAAAGAGGCTTAGCATATATGATATCAACTGATAGCCTAGGCACATTTTATTTATGCATTTGTCTTTATATTCATTCATTTATTTTTGTACATGTTATTAGTGTGTTTGTGTGAGGGGCCGTATGTGAACACATCAGTGTGGGTTTGTATACATATGATACATGAAGATAGGTTAGAGGTCAACATCAGGTGTTGTCTTTTATTTCTCCTCACCTTGTTTTATTATTTAAGGCATATTAAAAACCCTGATCAACCAATTAGAAAAAACTGTCCTAGAAGTCACTGCTACACCAACAAGCCCTTCTCTTCACTGCCTACCCTCTCTCATACACAGACACATACATGAGAAATTGCCTTTGGTTCTCTCTGAATCTAGGAGCTCATCATCACAGGCTGCTGTGCCAAGGAACTCCATGGACTCAACTGATTAGGTCCTCACCAGTGCTAGGGCTACATATGCAGGTGCAGTATTGCACAGTACATGTGTTCTGGGTATCTGGACACAGTTGTTCATGCTGGTGAGACAGGCACTCCACAGATTGAGCCATCTCTCCAGTCCCTACTTTTATTAGTAGCATTAATTATAAAAATATTGTGCTTATTCTAACATGGTACTACATATATATGATATGTTATTAATATTCACTCCACATTTCCCTCTTTTGCACTCACTGGTGGTCAGCTGAGCTAAATTCATAATTTGGCTAAGGTGAACTGTACCTAAACAGCATGATGTGCCTATATCTTTTTTTAACGTAGTTTGATGCCTACAGATACAAAGTTAGGAGTGGTAATGCTGGATTATGTAGAATTTGTATTTTTCAGGGATTTTTAGCAAAGAAACATTACACTAAATTCTTTAATGGTTTCATTAATTTATATTCTGATTAACTGCCTATAAGAGTTCATTTCTCGTCATGTCCACAACATCATTGTCTTTTGTTTTCTTGATGATAGCCATTATTTTGGAGCTAAGCTCGATCCTCAGCATAGATTTTATTTGGTCATCTGTTTTCTTCAGCAAGGAGATACTAGAAGTGCTTGGAATTCTCCATACACCAGTAACAAACATCCATGGCAGAGAAGATGGTGATCATCTAGGGAGTACTATGTTCCCTTCCTGAGACAGACAGACAACAGAACATAATGGAAAACAGAATATGGAGCTGTGGAGAAAGAAAAAGCATAAGCTTTATCCACTGGAGTGGGAGGGTACTCAAGGCTAATCAGCTAATTGGGCTTTGGCTACAATGCTTTATTGGAACTATGTGTTTTCTCCTTTCCACTGTGAGTCCTGTTCAGGTACCCAAGCCCTTTCCTTCCCACCAGTTCAACTCAAGTTGTCTTTTGGGAAAAGAAGTTGCCATCTCATGGAGTTAACTTTTTCCGTCCCATCTGTCTATACTCTTCTAACTCTTTCTCAGCCACACCCCTCAGAGGTCAATAGCAACTGTTGTCAATGATGGGCCCATGATTGCTCTAGTGCTTCCAGGTCATGCCCTGAAAGTGCTTTCTTTTAACAACACTTGGCAAAAGTTTTGAAGTACTTAGGAAACTCAGGGCCTTGAAAATAGCTACTTAAGATTTATTCAACAATAAGCCAGTCTGTCTAATCTTCTACCCCCACCAGTATCTGCTCACAGTTATAGAGTCTTTATACTTTCATTTTCAGGTCTTGAAGAATGTTATTCATTTCCTTCACCTGTTTGTGTGTTCCTGGATTTCGATAAAGAATTTATTCATTTCCTCTTTAAGAGACTCAATCATATTCATAGAATTGGATTTAAGTACATTTTTCTTGTGTTTCAGCTGTATTAGAATATCCAGGGCTTACCACAGTATAGGACAGCTGGGCTTTAATGGTGTCATATAATCATCAGAATTAGGGATTATTATAGGCTTAAATGTCGATTTATGAGTTTATCTTTGTTAGATGGATGTTTTTTGATATTTTCCCCTTTGGTTTTTTTTCTCTCTGGTTTTCTGTCACTACTGCCTGTGGTTCTGGTGATCAGTGAGTTTTCAGTCTGGAAGGGTGTTTCTGTGGGGATTTGGTGGCATCCATGGACTCTGGGGTTCTGGGTACCAGCTTGGTCTCTGGAATTGATAGTATTTTTGTTGTCTCCAGTAGAGCAGGTGTCTCATGATAGAGTTGTGGGCTTAGATATGGAGCCTGGGGAAAAATTCTGTTGCGGACTGCTGGGCAAGTTTTAAGAGTATCAGTGGGCAATGGGTGGTGTTTTACCTGGGGTTCTTAGTACTGGTGTGGTCTCTAGCACAGCAGGCATATTATGCTAGGGTGAGGGTGCCATCGTAGGAGAGGTTGACTTGAAAAAGGTGAAAGGGGAAATTAAGTAATTATAATTAATTTTTAAAAAATAATTTCTTAAAAAAGAAGCAAAACGTGGTACAAGAAACACAAGGCTAATTGCAAATGAATCAAATTCACCTGTAGTTTCCTAGCAAGGCTTTAGACATTTTGAGACTTAGTGCTGGCAACAAAGTGTCACCATATCTTAGTTGGCTTGGGATACACAGTGAAAATTACAGGAGCAATTTCTAAACTATTTTTGTAGCATGTGCACACCTCAACCACTAAAAAAACAGTGAACATGTACAACTAAGTACATGACAAGTTAATGTTAAGTTATTGTATCTCAAGTGTGAGGGATTGCATGTGTGCTACTGAAATTACTTTCTGTTAAAAGAGTCAGCTGATCCTACCAAGGGTTGTTAGCTGCAATTTTAGATGGAGCTCAGGACAGAGGACACTGAAATTGCATTGCCAACAACATGATCAATACATAAACTCTCACCATATTTCACTGAATGTCACACAGCATGTTTTCTTAGAAAGAAGCCAAAGCAGTGCCTACAGGTGACCAAACTCTACATGTAACTCTTCAGACATGAAGTTGTCTTCCAGACCAGTTGTGCAGTGACAAAAATGGAAAAACTTATTCCCTGCAGGAGATAAGTTGATTTCAAAGCTATACTTGATAATTCTTTGGGGTGACATAGGTATTCTAACTTTAGATCAAATACTACTGCCTTCTCATTTCATTATGAAGAAAATCAAAAGAAAGAGATTTACAGCAATGTGTAAGAGAAATCACTTAGTATTAGAATCATCATGTAAATTTGAAGATGGAGTTTCTGTTTTGCCTAGTCCTACCATCATTCAGTCACATATAAACACACTGAAGCTTATATCAATTATAAACTTTTTTGTCAATGGTTCAGGCTTCTTATTAGCTTACTCTCTCTTAATTATTAACCAATTTCTGTTAAACTTTGCATTGCCACGAAGCTGTGGCTTACTTGTAATGCTCCGTCATGTTACTCCTTCAGAGGCTATCTGATGTCTGTCTGTTAACTCAGCCTCTGTGTTCCTCTTCCCAGACTTCTTCTTCTCCCCTGTCTATGGCTACATCCAGCCTGTCTATCAGCCAAAACAGCTTTATTTACAACCAATAACAGAAACATATATTCACAGCATATAGAAGGACATCCCCCATCATAAATTCTGTTTGCGTGTCAAATAAAAATATGTGTGGTTGTGTATGTGAATATGCTCATGTCTATATGGGTCCAGGTGTATGGCAGCATGGACAAATACTTGTGTATGTATGTATGAGTATATTAATGTGCACATGAACAGACCAGAGGAAAACCTTGGATGTTGTTCCTCAGGTTATGATCAGCATGCTTGCTTGTGTGTATATGCATATGTGTATTTGAATACACAGGTGTGAGCAAGAATGTGGAAATCAGAGGTCAACCTTAGGTGTCATCATTAGGGAGCTGACCACCTTATTTCTCTCTCTCTCTCTCTCTCTCTCTCTCTCTCTCTCTCTCTCTCTCTCTCTCTCACTCTCTGTCCCTCTCTCTGATACAGGAAGTTCATGGTTAGGCTAGGCAGGCTGAGTACTGGGCTCTAGGAATCTGTCTGTGCTCTCACCACAGCTCAGTCACCATGCCTAGCTTTCTATGTGTGTGCTGGAAATCATACTCAGGTGCTCATGGCTCCATGGCACTTACCCATTTCCTTTGTTTTGGCAAGCATCAGCTGAAATATTCTCTGTTTTTTCCCCTTTTTATTGTGAATACACAGAAGTCTAAAATTTTCTTCAACAATTCTCCCAAATACAGAGGGAAGGAACTAAATTTCCATACTGGAGGCAGTGAGCCCTAACACACACTGTGACATCTGTCTGTGTTTTCATCAGGGCACTTCTATGTTAGCATAAAAGAATTTATCTTTTATGTTCTAGTAGTAAAATCATACTGTGAAAGCAACCTGTAGTAATTAAAGATGCTGATACCACAATTCTCAAGTAGATTTGAGGACTCTGACATGTCAAAAAATAATATTGCATTTTATAAATGTGAAGGCTTCCTTGGAAAAACATTGATGATATCACATTCCTTCGCATGTATTACTTTTAATAGTGGCTAGAACTGAGATAATTATTTCAGATTTCTGGGCTTCCATGTGTCTGGGGAATTCATTTATTGTCTAATAATGCATCAGAATCTTTCCTAAATAGAAATATTTAAACTTTATGAGGAACTCTGATCAGTACATTTAGCACCAAAAGAAGAATTTATAGAAAAATCAGTATGAAAGAGTCAGTATTGAAGGTAAAGCTCAGGACAAAGCCTGAAGGGTAATTTTTACTTTCTGTGTAGACAAGACATAAATGACAAACGGAAGACAGTGTCTGGTATTTCCCTGCACACACAATCAGTCACTTAGTGTAGTTGTAGTCTAAACAATGTCTACTCCGGAAATGTCTACACACAGATAACAACAGTCTCCTCCACTCTACGGAACTATAATTGAGCATCAGATAATTTTGGAAATAAGCAAAGAGCTTCTGAGACAAAGTCAGACAGTGGATATTGTTGCAAGAACAGAGTTGTGCAAAGGCAACTGAAAGACATCCCTCAAAGACCCAAGGAGAAACCTTTAGTTGAGCGCTCCACTGCCATGGGTGTTTATGTTCAGCTCCTCCTGCAGCCCCACACACTGTGCACTCAGAGCACAGAAGTACACAGCCGAGTCGCTCAGGTGCACAGAGGCTTTCTTCAGGTGGAAGGAAGAGTCGCTCTTGCTAAACTCAGCCTCAAAGCCACTCAAGCCGAGAACCACGGGGTCTCCTGAATAATACTTGAGGAGCAGCTGGAGCCCCTGTCGTGGGTACTGGACATACCAGAACAGATAAGTCGTCACACTGGAGGAATAGTTGCATCTCATCTGCAGAGAGGATCCTTCAGTGACAGTGATGCGAGCTTCAGGCTGAGTCACTGACTGTGCTCTGGAGTCTCCTGTGAAGGAATCTTTGTAAGTACCTGAAGTACAGATTTCCCTGAGGACAGTCCGAATCCCGGGATACAGAGACCACGAGGACGCTATACTCACTCAGGAGAAAGTGAACCCCCAGCAGCGGGAGGAGCACCAGGAGCATGGCTGAACACCAGGAATACTGCAGCTCTTCTGTGGGAGAACTGTCTGGAACAGGACAGGCAGGAGAGTGGCTGAAGAAAGCAGAAACTTGAAAATAGGTCTGAGGAGAGGGTCTGCTGGAGAAAAACAGTCACGCTGCTAAGACCAACGTGGAAGGTTTTGTATATCTGATTCTTGTCACATACCCTTGCTAAAAACTCAGCCAGCTGCAAGGGTGATGAGACATGAGCAGGTGGTGATGATATTCAATACATGACAGAACGCTGGTGAGTGCAGCATCGCCCTCTGGAGGCCGAACGAGGAACCACGTATCCTGAGGGTCCTGGGTTTGTCACCTACTCTCCCTACTTCACAAAGCAAAACTTTTACAACTTAGACTGATTCTTTTCCTAATCTGTGATGAAGTATTAATTCTGTCATCTGCCAGAAGTGGAAGGAATTATGAATACTCATTATGAAACCAGTTATGAAATGCACACCAGACTTCATATGCGATTGTCTCAGGCTGAGTTTGAATGGCCACTACAGCTATGGCGGTAATGCATGATGGTACAGATACCGCCCTTGGTGGATGCTCTGGACTACAAAGGCAACAGAAAAACACAGGAAATAAGATGCCTCTGCTCTCCATGACAAGTTGTGACTCCAGAGTGGAAAGTTTTACTTCTAGAGTCAGAGGAACTACAACCTCTGACCTTCAATGCTGATGAAATTATTGTCCTCCAGGAAAGAAACATAAGATGACCACATTGTAGTTTTTCCTAGGTCGATGGAATGCATTGACTAAGTCATATTCTGTATTTTCTTTGGTTCAGACACACGAAGGAAATTCTTTCCTTTGGTCTTTTCTCAAATATTCCTTCCTGTAATGAGGAATTTTCCTGAAGATAGTTTTCCCATGCCTGTAGTATGTGAGTGTTTAGTCTATGAATGAGGTTGTGGAGGCTGTATGCATGAGGGTGCATGCTCCCATTTCTTTCAGATTTCTCCATAACTTAAAGAAGAACTGTATAAAAAAGAACAAACCCAAGTCCACATGTGTTAGAAGAATGAAAATCATCTAAAAAGTGTCAGATGTACAAGTACTTCCAGGAGATGGAAGGATTTAAAGTCTTATCGATGTTAGGTCTAAAGGAAGCACATATAAAACAAAGACAGGAATTTCCTGCTGGCTTCAGCTTGCTATAGTGATTTGCAGAGCCCAGTGTGTGTGCAATCCAAGGGCACCACATTTATTGGAGCAGTGCAGCTTTCTTATCACTGGTGTGATACAGCAGGATTCTCCACTTCTCTGTGTTGAGAGAATGCAATTCTCTTAGTTGAAGAGCATCAGAAACACACTTGAATTACAAATCCCATGTTCTTTATAAAGAATATTGATCAATTAGCAAGGAGATGACCCAGTGTCTAAAAGCCCTTGGCATTTAACAGTAAGTTTTGAGTTCAGATTTCCAGAGTTCATATAAGGCTGGACATGACAGCACATTCCTATTTCTTCTAGAGCAGCAGTTCTCATCCTATTGGTTGTGACCCCTTTGGGATTCAAATGACCCTTTCACAGGGGTCTCCTAAGACTACCAGAAATATCAGATATTTACATTATGAATAAAAATTATAAATGTTACAATTATGAAGTAGCAAAGAAAATAATCTATCACCACAATATAGGAAACTATATTAAAGGGAAACAAAATTAAGAATCTTGAGAACCAATGTTCTAGAGCAAGATTAGAAAGAAAGACAGAACCCAATACCTTGAAGCTCATGGAGACAGCTAAACTACAATGCTGAAGATGAGACCCTGTACCAAAGAAGACAGAATGTAAGAACCCATGCCTCAAGTTTCTCTCTGACTACCCCACATGCACCAGGGCACATAAATGCCTTCACTCACATAACTGAACACAAACACACACCCACAGACACACTACACAGTCTTTCACACACATCATTCAAGGAAATGAACATACAATCATCACACACACTACTGACACATTATACACACACACATGAACTGCATGAGCACACACATATTCACATTTTATAATATGCACCACATACTACATATGCGTTTCAGTAACACATACACATACACACACACACACACACACACACACACACACACCACCACCACCACCACCACCTCCTCCTCCTCAACCAAAACACACATAGGGCCCACAGGAATATAAATATTCCTAATAATTTCATAGGAAACCTCACTTGAAAGACTGAATTTTAAAAGGAACATTGTATATTTTAAATAAACTTTGAAATTTTAAATTTATACTATGTTTTATATTGTAGTATTAGACTTACTTTTTGGGGACAGACAAGAAACGTTAAGGTTTAATTAGTGATGGTTTGTGTTTCAAGAAGAAAAATGATCAGTCTGTACTCATTTCTGTCAATTTGAAATGAGCAAGCATCCTCTGGAAAGAGGGAACTTTATCTAAAACAGACACAGATTACCTTGGCATGCAGACCAATGATCAATGTGAGACTGTAAAACCCACTCTGGGCAATGGGACTCCCAGGCTAGATCTTTGTTGCATAAAAACAACAAGCTGATTGAGACATAAAAATCAAGCCGATAAATAGCATTCTTCTATTTCAGTTTATGACTCCAGCCTTGAGTTCCTGCCCTGGCTTCCCTTGATGATGGACTGTAACCGCTAAGCCAAATGAACCTGTATTCTTCATGTGGTTTTGGTCAGATATTATTCTAGCAGTAGACAGAAAACTAGGACAGTGTATAAAAAACTACTTCTAAACCAGTTTTCCGGGAAGGACAGAAACTGAAGTATAGCCAATGGGCTGTGAGAGCTCCATGTAGGAAAAATTGGATGTGACAGAAATAAAATGGGCAAAGTCTTTATAGGTTTGGAAAGTAGATTTTTATTTTTACTTCATGAATGTCTACTATCAGAAGTAAAGTTTCTCAATTTATCAGTTTGTATTGTGAATATTCTATTGAAATATCAGTCAAACACTGCACAATTCAGCCATTTACAGTGTATTCAGTGATTATGGTTTTACTCACAGATCTCTGCATCATCAAATAGATGTTAACAAAGTTCCCCAGCACAAAAACAAAATCCACACCTAGAATAGTTCCCCTATCTCCATCAATCCAATCCTGCCACTGATAGAGTTTTGTATAACAGGTGTTTCATAAAATCAGGCATCTGTTCCAGGTGGTCCGTTGAAGATAGCATCTCTCAATTGATTTTATACACTTTGAAGTACATGTTGTAGCACTAATCAGTATGTAATTCCTCTTTATTGCTATACAACACTGTATTCCATGTGTAGGGTACATATTTCCATTCATCAGTTGACATAACTTATACTGTTATAAGTATGTGGTTATCAACACTTGGATACTACTTATTCTTTCTCTTCTTTTTAGATATTAGTAGGAAATGAATTGCTGTTTCTCAAAGAAGATACAATTTTTTTCTTTCCATGAACACTGCATGGGGATTCTACTTTTCCCACACTGTAGACAAAATTTGTTTTGTTATCTCTATCATGTTACCTGTTTTAGTGGGGTGGTGAGGTGCCCTGTTGTAGTTTGTCCTTGTCTAGGATCTCATGGTGTTCAGAAATCTTCCTTTTGCTTACTGAGCATTCCATATCATACTTGGAGGACTGTCTATCCACATGTTTCTCACTTTTAAGCATGCTTTTGTCTCTTATCCCTGAAGTATGGAACTGCTTGTGCATTGTGGTTGGAAGTATGTTATTAAATAAGTCATTTGCCAATATGTTTTTCCATTGTGGGCCTCATTTTCACATTATTGGTGACCTATATTGAATCATAAAGGTCTTTTATCTATCTTCATTTTCCTTCCCTTTCTGGTATAATATCTCAGAAGGGTTTTCTCAATCCATTTAAAAGGGTCCACGCCCCATATTTTATCGCATGTTTTAAAGCTTAATTATTACATTTCTAACCTAGGATTTAGACTAAGTTTTATTTGTTGCATAGAAAAGAGGTATTGTCATGCTTTCACATGGGACATCAAAATCTGTCCCTATTTTTCATCTCATACAATGGCTTGTGAAGTGTCAATAGCCTGCAATATTCACTCAAAAGTCATACTTTCCTCCTGGGGGCAGGTAAGATCCTTTACTCTCACACCAGGACATAACCATGAGGACATCTGAGTAGAAATTACCTGCACTTGATGGGGCTGTGGCCACATTCATGTACATTCAGACTCTGAGCCTGGGTCACTGTCATTTTAACAAAGAATATCAGTGTGTGACACGGATAGTAAATCTACACTGGCTACCCTTGAACTGAACACTTACTGGGCTTGCATTGTTGCTGCTCATCTGGTGAGAAGCATTAACTGGGCACCAGGATGTGGAGACCCATTCTATCTCATGTCTCCATCACTTTCCTGGATTTTCATCCTGTTAATTTTGTCCTTAATAAATCTCTTTGGTATTTTATTTATCTATCCATTTATCTACTATGATACTAGCAATGGGTTTTTGTATAAGAAGAATACAGAAAAGATAAACTGTTTTAAAATAGAAATAAGTAATCATTTTAATTTAACCTTGTACATAATTAGCAGAAATTATAAAATTAATTCAATGCTTACAGAAAAACTCACTTGTAATAATTCTAGTGGGGGCTAGAGAGGGGTCTCAGTGTCAAAAGTGTTTGTGCAAAGATGAGTATCTGAGTTCAGTCTTCAGAACCCACAAAAAACCCTAAAAATATAGGTTACAATATACACTTGTAGTTATAGTCCTGGGTAGATAGAGGCAGGTGGATCCTGGCCTTGCTGTGCAGTCAGTCTAGCTTAGTCAGTGAGATACAGTCACTGAGAGACCATGACTCACAAAACAAAATGGGCCCTGACTGTACATCCTGACAGAAATTTTCCCTGTCCACACCATTTGCAATGTCCAGGCCTACACCAGACATGGAACACAGACAAAAGGCGATTTATGAAAGTAAAGGAGAAACCTGTGTTAGGATGAGGTGATTCATTTTAATTGGCATGCCAATTAGGTAAGCCAAGAGGACTTTTGATAGTTGGATTTTGCTAGTCAGCCTCAGGAAGAGGAAGTGGCTGAATAAGGGAATAGACATTGGTGGCAACATTTTGGAATGTAATATAAAGATTTTTAGCAAGGAAAAATAAAGGGGAGAAGGGCAAGGCATAGACCAGCTGCATGC